AGAATGACCTGCACAGGTGGCTGTACAGGTAAGCATGGATAGGGGAGGGTGCTAAGAACCCATGGAGACTGGGAGTGCTGGTTTCGACAGAGCCTTCTCCATCTGTGACTGTGCCATGGTGACAAATCAGAGCCATTCATGCTGGTTCTCTTGGCTGCAAGCAGTGGGTACATAAATCCGCAGCATCCCACAGCGTGTGGCTACCTGTAGCTCGGGTTTATGTTGCTACCGTGTGTGGCTCTGGCACACCGCTCTGCAAATGAGTCAGCAGGTAGGAAACCTCATTCCCACCCTCTGGTCAGTTGCTGATGTTACGAATGATGGGGCTGTGAACTAGCCCTGACCCAGCGACCCTGCTTGCACCATGTCCGACCCAGTTTACCAATAGCCTGGCATAAACCCAGTCACTGATGACAACATCTGGCCTTGGTGGATCTGAGCCAGGCATTTGTAGTTTGGACTGGGGTCAGCTCAAAGATAATCATCCTTTTATTTGGAATTTAACATGAAGGAAGTAAAACAGCTATGCTTGTGGGTCATCTGCTCCTGTGGTTTCTGGACGCAAATTCTTCCTCAGCTGTGTAGATTCCAATCCACCGTAGACACGGTGTGCAGCATGGGACACAAGTGATTTCAAGTGATTGCCTGCTGGTTAGGTGGGAGTCCTTTTCTTACAGATGAAAACAATTTGTCATACCCAAGACTAACTGACTCTGTGCCAGCTTCTCCTCTAAAAAGCAATACAGGTAAAAGGAGTGGGCCCCTCCCCTAGCCCAGCCGAGGAGGAACAGGTCTCAGAAAAAGTCATCAAACACTTTCCAGACTTCCACAGAGAAGTGCATGGTGTGTATGTGTGTGTGTGTGTGTGTGTGAGAGAGAGAGAGAGAGACAGAGAGAGGCTGAGAGACTGACTTCACCCAGGCAAATCAGAGGTCACTGACCACACCTCTCTGGAGCACAAGGCCACCTGGGCTGCCTTGCTTTGTGATGTACAGCTGCTCTCTCCTGCCAACAGGAAATCAGTCTTTATTAAGTGTTTGTGGGACCCCACCATTTTTTTTAAAGTCAAAGAAAGAGATGGTGGAGATTACACAAATCCACATGTGGCAAATGACACAGAATTCCACATGCCTCTGTGGCAGTGCTGCCCTCCTGGGGGTGATATTGTGCTACAGGGATGTGAGATGTTTCCGCTGGGGGAAACCAGGTGGTGGGTACACCGAAATTGAACCTCTTGGTGACTTCCTTTGAATCTGTAATTATTTCAAAACAAAAAATGAAAAAAGAAAGGGAGCACAATGACAAGCTAAGCTATGCAGTGAGGATTCCCATGGCATCAGGCTCCAAGCTGAGGTATGGGGTCTTCCCAGCCCCAGCAGGTTCAGAGCATTCAATATTTACTCAGCCTGGACTCCGGGCAGTGCACTGTGATCGCATGAGGGAGGTGATGGGTGTCACAGAGAGCTGAAGCAGGTCCTGGGCCTGAGGGAGAAGGCCCTGAACAGGACACATGGGAGACTAGCACTGTCTGTGGCTGCGGAGCGAGTGAAGCCCTCTGTGCCTGCATTTCATCCCCTGTCCAACAGCTGAACAAACCGGTGATGGTTCAGAAGATAAAATGAGGAAACGCAGCTCGAAGTGTCTTGCGAATAAAGATCTACAGCAGCACTTACTTTTTTTTCTTTTTTTTGAGATGAAGTCTCACTCTGTGGCCCAGGCTGGAGTGCAATGGTATGATCTCGGCTCACTGCAACCTATGCTTCCTGGGTTCACACAATTCTCCTGCCTTAGCATTTTGAGTAGCTGGGATTACAGGCATCCACCACCATGCCTGATTTTTATATTTTTAGTAGAGACGGGGTTTTGCCATGTTGGCCTGGCTGGTCTCAAACTCCTGGCCTCAAATAATCTGCTGGCCTTGGCCTCCCAAAGTGTTGGGATTACAGGCGTAAGCCCCCAAGCCCCCAGCCCAGCAGCACTTCTGAAACTCAGATGGGCACACAGGTCCCCTGGGATCTTACTAAAGTGTGGATTCTGACCGAGCAGGTGTGGGGAGGGGGAGATGCTGCGTTCCTAGCCAGCTTCCAGGTGAGGCGGACGCTGTGCGTACACCACTCATGCTGAATGGTGATGATCCTAAGCTCATAGGCACCACAGTCATTAAAACAGAAATCACACAAAAGATCATCTGCTTCCACCTAAAGCTGAGCCACCAGGGGCCTCAGTTCAGATGTCCAGTCCACACCTTAGGGCAATGGCATCAGCATCCCTGGGGTGGGGCCCAAGCGTGGCATCCTTGTGCCACCAAGAGAACCCCACATGTCCCCAGGGTGAAAACTGCTGCTCTCGGGCTTGAGTGCAGCACCCGACAGGTGTTCTAGTCTCCTGCACTTGCTGCCTTCTTGGGCGGCCTCTTCAATTTCCTGCCAGTTGTACTCATTTGTCAGTTTTTCCTGTTGAGCCAAAATACCGCTCTCCCTCCTCCCTGCTGCACTCCTGGAGCTTCTACTCATTTCCTCTTGCCATATGTCTAGGGGCCACAAAGAATGACAGCCCTCAGACTATTTTTTAAATTGAGGTAAAATTCACATAACAAACATAGAATTAACCATTTAAAAATGTACAAGTCAGTGGCATTCACTGTATTCACAATGTTGTGCAACTCACCTCCCTTCTCTGGGTTCAAAGCCTTCTCATTTCCCCAGAGAAAAAGTCCGTATCCACGGAGCCATGCTTGCACTCACACCTCCCCCAGTTCCCTGTCTCGATGGATTTTCTTTTTCTGGATATCCACGGAGAAGGCATATATGACCTTTTGCTCCGGCTTCTTTCATTTAGTGTAATACTTTTGAGGTCCATCCACATTGGGGCATGTTTCAGAATTCTCTTCCTCTTTAAGACTGAATAATATTCCTACATATATACATATGGTACCACTTTTTCTTCATTCATCCACTGATAGGTGCTTGGGCTGCTTCCATATTTTGGCTATTATGAATAACGCTACTGTGAACATTGTTCATAAGTTAACATAAGTTTCTGTAGGGACATATGTTTTCATTTCTCTTGGGTACAGACCAAGGAGTGGAGCTGCTGGGTCATATGGTAATTCTATGTTTTAACTGTTTCAGGAACCACCAAACTGTTTTCCACGGCGCCCGCACCAGTTTACATTCCTACCAGCCATGTATGAGTGTTCCAATTTCTCCATATGCTCACCAACACTTGTTATTTTCTATTTCAAAAAAAATTTTTTTAAGTCATCTGAGGGATGCAGTTGGCCTTCAGATATCGGTGCAGAGTGATCTTGTCTCCCTACAGGTCCCCTATTTTCAGGCTGAATATCTTCAGTTGCTCCCTTCTTGACTGTCAAAGACACCTGAAATTGCTCTTTGGAAGTGGGCCTCATGTCCCTGTGTGGAGGGACCAGCCCTCAGCAATGAGGCCACTGGTGGCCAACCCCAGAGCTGCCTCTCCTGGCCACTGATCGGGGCCTCTCTCCTTCAGTGGCTGCTAGGACACACCTTGTCCCTTGGGGATGGTTGGTTTTCACCTAACAAAGTGAAAGCCTTTTTGCAAAGAACACAGCACCACATCCAGCATGAAGCATGATATTAAGTAAGGCGTGGCCACAGTGAGCACTGCCTGTACTGAGGGAATTGGGAGGTCCTGCCATTTCCCACAACGTGGTCAGGCCTGGAGGAATTACGCTAAGCAAAATAAGTCAGACATAGAAAGAAAAATACTGCATGATTTCACTTACATGTGGACTAAAAAAAATAGAGATAAAAGAAGAAAATAGTGGTTACCCGAGGTTTGGGATGGGTGGAGGGAAGGGAGAGAGAAGATGAGGAAGTAGAGTCCAGGCTGGGCACGGTGGCTCACGCCTGTAATCCCAGCACTCTGGGAGGCTGAGGCGGGCGGATAACAAGGTCAGGAGTTAGAGACCAGCCCGACCAACATGGTGAAACCCTGTTACTACTAAAAATACAAAAATTAGCCAGGAGTGGTGGTGCACGCCTGTAATCTCAGCTACTCAGGAGGCTGAGGCTGGAGAATCGTTTGAACCTAGGAGGTGGGGGTTGCAGTGAGCCGAGATCACGCCACTGTACTCCAGCCTGGGTGACAGAGTGAGATGCCATCTCAAAAACAAACAAAAAAATAGAGTTCAAATGACACAAGGCAGCAGGTAAGTGGGCTGAGCAAGGCTAGAGGAACATGAGGACTGTAGTTAATAACATTGTAGTGCATTAGGAACTGTTGCTAAATAAGTATATTTTTAGCCCCTCTTGTCACACAAAAAAAGTAACTGTGAGATGATGGATATGTAAATTTGCTTCACTATAGTAACTCTTTTCCTATCTATATGTATCCTATAACATCATGTTGTAAACCCTAAATACAATAAAATTTATCTTAAAATATTATCATCAGTAAAGCAAATGATTTATGCTCTGCAACATTTGCCCCAGAGATATTTTCTATTGCACCTTTCATAAAAATATTTAGAAGGCTTTTTTTTTTTTTTTGAGATACAGTCTCTCTCTGTCACCCAGGCTGGAGTGCAGTGGTGCGATCTCAGCTCACTGCAACCTCCACCTACTGGGCTCAAGCGATTCTCCTGCCTCAGCCTCCTTAGCAGCTGGGATTATGGGTGTATGCCTCCATGCCTGGCTAATTTTTGTATTTTTAGTAGAGACAGGGTTTCACCATGTTGGGCAGGCTGGTCTCGAGCTCCTGACCTCAAGTGATCCGCCCCATGGCCTACCAAAGTGCTGGGATTACAGGCATGAATCACGGCATTTTCTTTTAAATAATTTACAGTGCCTTTAAAAAAAATTAGTGGTGAACATTTAAAACCCAGGTTATATTATTTGGACTCAGATGAATTTCAAACAAGTAAACATCTTTCCCTTATAGTTGGGTATCAGTGACAACATGCAAAATCAATGCCACCAAAATTAGAAAACTTTTTTTTGCAAACAAAACTGTGAAGTTACCTTGATTCTGTTAGGAGATAGCTGAAGGTGTATATTCTAACTGAGTGTAATGTGCCACACAAGGCCATTTCGGCTGATGGTTAAAACCAGGTATTCCTTTTCATGAAACAAAGTAGCCAAATCTCTCTGTGCCTTTTCTTCTTGCTTCAATGTCACAGAGGAATTGTTCTGTGACAATTCTCCAGCTTTTGCGGCTGCAGGTCTTTCTCATGTCCTTGCCCAATGCTGGAAAGAGGAACTGCTGGTTTTCTAGGTCCTCAGCTGTTTCCAAAGCAGGCCATTCCATTGTGGGTGACAGTCTTCTCCTGGACTGCAGAGCCCATGTTTAGGCAGAAATGTCAGGGAATGCTGCTTGCCTCACTCCTGGCTCCTTCCTGAGCTCCTCAGACAGTCTCTAGATTTTTTTGCCTTCTGCCTTGCTTTCCCTAGTGTCTGGAGCCAGGGCCACTGATCCTTGTGCAGCCACATGCACTGACCTGGTCCCTGAAGGCTGTCCTCTGTTACAGGCAGCCTGTCTCTGCTGCTGCCAAAGAACCTTCCATGGACATTGGGCAACCTGACTCGTCACCACGTTTTGCAATCAAGGTAGGAGTCCATGGGGCCTACAAAGAACACCACTCTGGTCTTAGCTGTAGTACATGTAATTAATAAATTCTGCAGGCCCCAGACTGTAAGTTTCTAGCACTTTCCATGTAGTGTTTCAGCCATGTTTACTGTTTGATATTTTCATTTTACTGGGTCCCTGGTATTGTACAAGAGAAGGTCCTTGATATTCTTACAGAGCAGTACATGAAATAAAATCAAAAGTTTGCATTGGCTGAAGATAAGCTGCATTTGAGCCAAATGATGGGGCTCCAAAAGAGAGATGCCAAGATGAGCTGCATGGGTCACGAGTCACACACCATGTTCAATTGACCACTGAAGGTTGGAACAGTAACCACAGGGTGCAAACATATCAGAAAATGCATGTGGGGCTGAGTAAAATGGGTGCTATGACATTCACAGGATACCCTCAAGTGAGAAGGTCCCCAGTGAAAACCCTTGGGGCTGTGAGCCCACCTGAGAGGAAGGGAAGCTGGGGGCTGCTTGGCCAATACTTGCATGGCTCCACTGTAAAAAAAAAAAAAAATCCTGATAACCAACTCTTCCAGAAGGCTCTCTTATTTCAACCATTTCAAATGTAACAATTCCCATGACGATCTCATACTGCCGTGTCTGCCTCAGCAGAGTCAGCTGAACATAACCATAAGCTCTCCCGGGTGGCTTGGTCCTCAGGAGGAACTTGATTATGATGTTGATGGAGAGGGTCCGGAGGCCGGTGACTGTGGGCTCCAGAGTCAGGTGCCCTGTGAAATACCAAACCTCTTTGGTTTTCCTACCAGCTTTCTATCATGTTTCAGTCCTCTCTCTGGTCCATGGAGGTCACCTGCATCTCCTGGTGGCTGCAGCTCTTGTTCTTTGCAGCAGTTTTTGAGCCCAGAGCACTTAAGGGCAGATGTCCACCTCCACATGTCTGAGTTAAGAGTTGGGGAGCGCTCTCTGCCTTCCTTAGGAGCTTGGTGTAGATGGCTCTGGGACCTCTTTTTCAGACAGGTGAAATGGCCAAAGAGATGGGCTTCAGCCCTGACCCATGATAACATGCACACCCTGCTGCCAACAGCAATAAGCTAAAGGGATTTGAAAGACTGTCCTCACCACCAACCACACACCAGGCCTACATCTAAGCTCTTCATGAGTCACCACTGATGGGGAAGCACTGATTTAAGACTGTAGTCTCCAAATACAGCTGGGCAGTAGAATTACTTAAAGAGCAACTACAATACAGATTCCTGGGCCCCTAGGGCAGCTGGAGATTCTAACATATGGCCACGTGGAAAGGCCAGGTCCGAAAGGAAGAGACAGACAGCTGATTCTGTGTTCTCCTGAAGCCCTCTTAGGAGACGTGGGAAGCAGTACCACTGACAGCCACTGAACAAGCCACGAGGGTAGTGGGGCCCTGAACAGCAGGTGTGGGGACCAGGTCATCATTGCATTTCTCCGTAACACATTCTGGCCCCGCAAAATGATACCAGCCACACGCCTTGATTCAGGAGTTGCGAATACCCTGTTTACCCTGGAGAAAGGTTGCTAAGCGAATCTGTGGCTCCCAGGTGCCACTACAGCAGAAGAGAGGAGCAGAACCAGGGGGGCCCCAAAGCAGGCCTCTCTGTCTGATGCCAGCTGCCTCTGAGCAGGCCTGCTCTCATTTACTCAAACAAAAAGAAAATTAGAGTGGCAAAGGTAGAGAAAAGCAAATAATTTGATCCACTAGAGTGTAATGGGATAACAGGATTTATGGCATTTTTGAGGCTAAAAATAGCTTAAGAGCCCTCACTCTAGAACTCTGAGCACTTCACACGGTTTTAACCCATCCTCCCATTTCCCTTCTGTGCTAATATCACGTGGTTTGAAGTTTGCTTTCTGCGGTATTTGATGCCACGTGGGTGTTTTTTCCTCATCCGTCTCCCCTTTTGTTACTTCAAGGGAAAAATAGCCCTGGGAAAGCTTCATGCCGTCTGCCATTGTTCTGTGTTTAAGGGAAAAAGTGCATGCTGCTTAATCTGGGCCTCAGGACCAAGCGGGCTGGCAAATTCCAGAAACTTTAAATCTTTGTTAAAAAATGCGAAAGTAAATGACCTTCGGTCTACAAAGCTAAGGGGAGGCAGCCCTGCCCGCGCCTTTCAAGCCTTGACAAGCTGCGAGTCCAGGAGCTGTGCAGGGTAGGAGCCAGCTAAGGAAAGCGACCGTCTCATCCGTCTGAGAGGCCAATGCTGGGGCGTCACGCTCACATCTGTGTGATCCCTACATACTGTGTGTGTGTGGGTGAGCTTTTAATTTTTAAAAATTTTATTTTTAAAACTGTGGTAAAATACACACAACATAAAATGTGGCATTTTAACTATCTTTAAATGCACAGTTCAATGGCATTAAGTATATTTGCACTGTGTGCCACCAACAGAAACTGCACCCACTACACACTAACTCCCCATTGCCGGCTTTCCCAGCCTTTGGCAACCACCATTCTGCTTTTTGTCTCTAAGAATCTGACAACTCTAAGTGCCTCAGGTAGGTGAAATCATGCGGCAGTTGTCCTTCTGTGACTGGCTTATTCCACTAAGCATAACGCCCTTAAGGTTCATCTGTGTTGTAGCATGAGTCAGAATTTCCTTCCTTTTTAAGGCTGAATGATATTCCATTGTATTGTATGGATAGAGCACATGGGCCTAGGCTTTTCATCCTAAAAATGATAAAATATCAACCTGCCATATGTCTTGGGTTCCATGCTCATTTTCAATAAATACAAACGATCCAGCACGAAGCCCACCACAGTCATCAGGGCCCATCTGCCTCCTCAGGTCCTTGGTGTGGAGCCTGACACAAGAGCCCCAGAATTCCAGGATAGGAGACAATCTGGAGGAAACAGCTCTGGGTTCTGGCCATTCTCTGCCTTGGTCATGTTTTGCAAGGCTGTGAGAAAACTTGCAGAAAACTGTTTACTTCATTTTTATCTTTTTTTTTTTTTTTTTTTCCCGAGATGGAGTTTCGCTCTTGTCCCCCAGGCTGGAGTGCAAGGGCATGATCTCAGCTCACTGCAACCTCCACCTCCTGCGTTAAAATGATTCTCCTGCCCCAGCCTCCTGAGTAGCTGGGATTATGGGCGCATATCACCACACCTGGATAATTTTTGTATTTTTAGTAGAGACAGAGTTTCACCATGTTAGCCAGTCTGGTCTCGAACTCCTGACCTCAAGTGATCTGCCTGCTTCAGCTTCCCAAAGTGCTAGGATTACACCGTGCCCAGCACATTTTTATCTTTTTTAAGTGGTAATTGCTGTACGAGAATTCTCAGCTTCTTGGGTGAAGCAGAGACTATGCCTCCACCTTGTACAAGGCAATGCAGGGTGCTCAGCATATGGCAAAATCAAACATGACCAATCTTTGTTCTGCTCCATCGTATGGGTTGTACTCCATTACTTTCCTCTACTTGCTTAACAATTAAGAGTTGGTTACAGACACTTTGGGAGGCTGAGGTGGGAGGATTGCTTGAGATCATGAGTTTGAGATCAGCCTGGCCAACATGGCAAAACCCCATCTCTACTAAAAATACAAAAATTAGCCAGGCATGGTGGCATGCACCTGCATTCCCAGCTACTCAGGAGGCTGAGGCAGGAGAGTCACTTAAATCCAGGTGGTGGAGGTTGCAGTGAGCTGAAATCATGCCACTGCATTACAGCCTGGGCAACAAGAGCAATTCTCTATCTCAAAAAAAAAAAAAAAAAAAAAGTTGGTTATACATAAAACTGCCAGCTGAAGAAAGCCTTCTAGAAGCCCCTCTCATTTTCAGGTTGACCAAAATGGGAAGACATTTCTGTCTTTACGCCTTTAAAGCTATAGACAGTTACAATGGGGAGGAACAGGGCAAGTATGGCGCTCGGGTATGGCAGCACGTGGGACCTTGGAGCTCACCTGCACATCCATTATGCCAGTGCAGCAGCCCCGCTCATGCGGCAACCCCAGTCCACTCAGAAATGAACCTCCCACTCCGTTATTATAAAAGTAAACACTTTATAATACCGTAGTTACAAAATATTTTTACAGATAGCATAAGAAAGTGAAACGGTGTTTGAACAAAATGTAAAGGAGAAACGAGGTTTAAAGGACTATCTAGATAGCTGAGTTGGCATATATTTTGGATATTACTTTCTGGGCATATTTCCATTAACTGTGAAATCTGGAGACAGGTTAAAAAAAGGGATACAATATATAGTGCTCTTGTGAGATTCAGTATTGTTGCATTGAGAAAATGAACCATACTGCAAATTTCTTAAGAAAGGTAGCTTCCTTTTGTGTTTTCAAATAGATTTTTTTTTTTTTTTTTTGAGATGGAGTCTTGCTCTGTCACCAGCCTGGAGTGCAGTGGCACAGTCTTGGCTCCCTGCAATCTCCACTTCCTGGGTTCAAGTGATTTCTGGCTAATTTTTTTATTTTTAGTAGACACATGGTTTCACCATATTGGCCAGGCTGGTCTTGAACTTCTGACCTCAAGTGATCCACCCACCTTGGCCTCCCAAAGTGGTAGGATTACAGGTGTGAGCGACTGCGCCTGGCCAGTTTTCAAACAGATTTTAACTGGTGTTCATTGATCCATTCATTGAACCAGGGTGTCTTTGGTACTTATTAGAACTTAGTCTGTTAGTCACAATAGAGATGCAGATGAATGACACCAGTCCCTGCTTCAGTGGACAAACAGGATCTTGGGATGCCACAGAAGCACCAAGGTGGTAGGGGGTTAGGGATCAGGGAGGACTCCCTGGAGGTGGAGGCTAAGTCTTGGTAAATAGAGTTAGCAGACAAGAGACCAAATGTTTCTGGGTTTCTCATCCAGCGTTCAGCTCTAAAGTGAGGCAGTAAGAAGTTACCAAAGGCCCATCATGCTGAGGATAGCCACTAGGTTCTAGATATTTCTAGAAACCATTTCCTTTGAAAAAGTCATGTATAACTAGCCTCAGCAGGAAAAGAGAAATAGAGAATGAATATAAATGGAACCCCAGAAAACAGTATCTATCTACCATGTATTTGGCTCCTACAGTGTCCCCTGTTTTTATACTTTAAATCCATCATGGTTCCCTTACACAAAAGTTTATTATGATTTCCATTTTATAGCAGGAAACACAAAGTCAGAAAGATTAAAGATTATGTAATGAATTATATTTGAAGGCTTCCTAGGTTGCAGGCACTGTTCTAAGTAGTTTAAAATATATTATCCCATGTGGTCATGTTAGTAAACCCATAACCCCTTCGTCCAGATGAGGAAACTGAGGCACAGTGAGATTAAGTGACTTGCCAATGCCTACTGGTCAGTCAGTGCAGTGCAATCCCAACTAAGCAGTCTGATTCCAGGGTGCACACTTCTGACCACAAGGCCATCAACAGCCCACGCTCCTGCAGCCACAGAAAGCATACTGATGAACACTTACACAAAACACACTTGCTGGTGATGGTTTCCGGTACCAATTAATTATTCACTGCTCAAGCTGCTGCTTTAAAAGGAGAA